GGGGGGGGGGGGGGGGAGGGGGGGGTGCATACTGTTGTGTCTTGCATGCCTTATTGGTTAGACCATGGACCACGCGTCCTCGAGAGGACGGAGCATATCGAGGGGATGCGGGTCATAGTGCGGGTGAGGCTATTCCGCGGGGGAGGCAGTGGCTACGGGAGGCTGGGTGCGATGCCAAGGTTGCGAAAGGTACCGCGCAGACGCCTGGACCAGTTTTTGATGCTCGAATCCTCTTCTCACGACGAAAAATGATGAAAACATCAAATTTGATCCGGCATGTTTTTTGGAACGCTCTCGATGAGGCGGTTCCAACGCGCAGCCGTTTCCGCGCCGTCGCTGTCTTGTTGCGAGTAAGCGAGCTTTGAAACTCGATACAAGGGTGTGAGTTTTCTTATGCAATCCTCGGTACAGTAGTATGCACAGCGTGTTACCTTGTCAGTGTTGAAGGCGCGATTTTTTGTCAACAGGGGGCGTGATATGTGAGAGGTTTGAGATCCCCGGGCGCGGGCGTCATCATGAGAGTTAATTGATTCATGCCGGTGGAAACGGGGGAAAATAACACAACAAGTGGCGACCATAGTAGGAATCCCAGACACTGTTGTAGGACTCTGGCTGATGACGCCAAGCATATCGACCGGAAATATCTGCAGCCTGGCGCTAGATAGATGTGACGAACACACACACTGCTAAAAATAGCTGCGTTGGTAGACACGTTGTACAATTTTCTTCTGTTGCTGTACGCCGTTTCTGTATTTTATCCTGAGGGTAACGTAGCCTAGCCTCCCCCATGACGCCCCCTCTCGGGGTCCCAGATCATCACCTTTAGTAGAAGCATTTTCGGTTTTCAACCGCACTGAGACTAGTGTCTTTTCGTTGGTCAGCCGGTTAACGCGGTCGATGTCAACAGCAAGCACACACACACGCCCACGAACTCAAGACTGTCGAATGCGCTGCTCGTGTTCAACACGGTGAAGCATGCTTGAGCCAGCGTGCGGTTGATGCAGTCCACAGTGGACGAAGTCGTGCTGTTCCTGCCAGGAGCAAGACCCGCCCCTATTTTTGTTTCTGTTCTATTTACTGCTCTCGGACGGGTAGTCTTTTTAACTATTTGGGTTTGTTTTTATGTATATTGTTGTAGAAAAATTTTTCCTCGTTTACTCGTGCCGAAAAAAATAAAAATAAAACCAGGTACATCCCGAGGAACTCGTGGTTGGCGACGTTGTGGTTATGAAACCCGGGGACGGCATCCCCGCGGATGGCCTGCTCTTCGCCGGAGAGGGGGTTAAGAGCAACGAGTCGGGACTTACGGGAGAGCCTGACGACCTCACCAAGCGGGCAGAAGCCGACTGCTTCCTCTACAGCAGGTGGGCCGACATTTTTTTTTTTTTTGTGCCACTTGTTTCGGGCGTGGGTACTTACATGTTACTGTCGGTGCAATTTGTGGACGCACCGGCCGGGGTCACGCACCAGCAAGGCCACACAACAGGGTTGCAAAAGTAGGCCAGGTTCGTTCGGCGCGTTAGCGCCGATTGACCCGGAGGCTGTCGGCGGGGCGCCGCGGGCGCCGTAGCCCTCCGCAGGAGCCGCTGGAGCCCCCCGGGAGGGAAAAATTTAGGGTAGAATGTGTCATTTCGGCACTTTCTGGCACTAATTTGAGGTGCTTTCCGATTCGTGTCGTGAACATCATTCATTCTACACTGTAGGTTAGTAGTTAGTGTGGTCTACTACTTCTAAATTGTTGCTAAGTTCGCTACGATCGTAGTAGGTAGGCACCGGTCTGTACGTGTCGGCATGTTCGACGCGAAAGCCCTGGCATTTCAATGTGAAAAAGCATACTACAGAAACTAAACGCGTGAGACCTTGAACCTAAAACATTTTTATGTTTGTTTGCAGAAGCAAATTAGCACACTAAAGCATTTTTACAGTCAAGAGATAATTGGCTCCACTCCCATCACACATAGGGGTCCAACAAAAAATATATATATATTGTCGTGGCGGAGAAAGACATCAAAGCAAGCGTTGATATGGATGCTTTTGCAACCCGGCCACACAGGAGGTATGTTTTCTCCGCCTTGGTCCTGCGGGTGGGTGCCTTGATTTGTATCGCTGGAAGGGGTGATGCCAGTACAACGTATGTACCCTTTCATGTTTCTTGTTTTTTTTAGTTTAGTGGCAAGTTTTTTTTTTCGTTTCCCTCCTACACCAGGGGAGCAGCCTTTTTTGCTCTTGTATAATTGATGTAAGTTTGTTGCTGTGCGTACTGTTACACTAAAACGGAAAGCAGAGCCGGACGATGTTGAAGCATGCAGTCGAATTCTTGTTTCCGTCCGGCAAGTTGCTCATTTCAGTGTCCTGATGGGAGGCGTCTTCCTTGAGCAAGTTGCCGACAAGCTCACCCCACCGCCTGCCTGCGAAGAGGGAACGACTTGTGGTTGTACTTTGCCGCATGCTGACCCGTCATATGCATAGTTCTATTTAATCATTAGACATACAACCTTGGTTTGTTGTCCTCCGCTACAGTACATGCTGATCTTTTTAGGTCCATCAAGGGCTTTTTGGGGTTGTCTTAGCATACCTCGCCGTTTGTGTTTAGCTGCGTGCCGAATTAAATCCATGTAGGTCTTTCGGTGTTGGTCTCGCCTCGCCGTATCGTTGTGTGTGCATGTCTTAAGCTTAAGTGTTACACGCCTTTCCATGTCGTCTTATCTTCGCCGCATTGTTGTTACAAAAGCTGCATGCTGACCGAGGTCGGTCAGAGCGCCGACTGCAAGATGATGGTGCACTCGGTGGGAGAGCAGTCCCAGTGGGGTCTCATCAGGGCCACCCTCGTGTCGGAGCCGCAACAGACGCCTCTGCAGGAGAAGCTCGACAACATGGCCAAACTCATCGGGTGGGTGTTGTTGCAGTAATATGTCGTTGTTGATGTTGTTGGTACTTGTATTTTTTTTCGGGCATTGTTGTCGTTGTTCCTGTTGAGGGTTGACTTATGTAAAGGGATGCACAAAAACAAAAGAATTAACAACCGTTCGCTATCCCCCGACGTATCTAGAAACCCAACACGGTGTTTTCCGCGTTTTTCAATGTTTGCGATTGGCTGCACACGGTGGTTTACGATGATGACGTCATTTTGATGTTCGGCGTTTTCCGATGCTTGTGATTGGCTGGATGATGGCGATGACGACGTCATGATGAATGATGACCAGGTACGTCGGGGTGGCCTTCGCTGTGGCCACCTTCACCGCGCTCGTTGTGATGATCTGGGCCAAGCACGACGGCGAGGAGATTCTGGACAGGGTGGTCGAGGCGTTCATCATCGGTGTCACCATCGTGGTGGTTGCCATCCCGGAGGTGAAATGTTGTTGTTGTTTTGTTTGCATTAGAAGATCGTTCCGATGTCCTCTCTATCTACCCACGTTTGCTGTTGTCTTGACTTTCAAACGACGGCAGTTGCGGGACCTCTGCTCACCACCTCATAACTTTCATGCGTACCTGTGTGTGGTTGTTGCTGTTGCTGTTGTGTTTACACGATAACAGCCGTTTCCATCTCTGCTCACGTTCCTGCCTGTCTGGCGCGTATGGGTGGGGTGCCTTGCGTGCCCACAGGCGAGAGTCAACTGTGTGTACCTCCGACACATGGAAGTTTTTGTTTCTCGGTGTGCGTGTTCTGTTTTCGTGCAGGGGCTTCCCCTTGCCGTTACGATTTCGCTGGCGTACTCTACGAGAAAGATGTACAAGGACCAGAACCTCATCCGCGTCCTGGCTGCTTGCGAGACCATGGGCAACGCTACCAACATCTGCTCAGACAAGGTATGTCCTCTGGTGCTGTTATGGACTTTGGTTCGGCAGACCGGCGTATTACACTACACCCCCCCCCCCCGACAAACGAGTGAAGGCGCCTTTTCAGAGCACGGTGCCCCGTCCCCCAACCCCCCCCCCCCCCCCGGTGTTTGCCATCGGGGTTGGGTTTTCGTCGCTTGGCAACGACGTTGTAAAACATGCCGCCCCTCCCGGTGTTTGCCATCGGGGTTGGGTTTTCGTCGCTTGGCAACGACGTTGTAAAACAAGCCCCCCCCCTCGGTGTTTGCCATCGGGATTGGGTTTTCGTCGCTTGGCAACGACGTTGTAAAACAAGCCAAGTCACTTCGTGAACTCGGCAACCAGGTTACCGTTTTTGTTTTGCCTCTGTTTTTTTTTGGCGGTAACCATAATGGTGGTCGAGTAGATCATGTTGTGCGGGGTGGAGAACCCTCGCTCCGCGCAAGGGGGATGATCGCACCACGTTGTGTTAAAATGGTCAAGCATCTTCGAGGCAGTTACACAGTGCTTATAACTGTCTCTGGAAGTGAAAGCACCAGAAAATAAATTAAGTCATACGTAGCTGTCATCCGTACGCAAGGAAGTAAGCACAAGATGTAGCACAAGATGCCGAACACCCTTAGCAGGATGCAGCTCACCCTTCATGCGACTCGCCGAATACCTCACGGCGCTTCGCGCTTGGTGATGTGAGAGCCTGGTCCGGTGAGAACCCGGCGTGCTCCGTCCCGGCTTTGTAGGGATGCTAGGTCAATGGTCTAACGACTACGGCATGCACGACTATGAGTACCCCCCCCCCCCCCCCACAAACGAGGGCTTGAGATGAAGGCACCTTTTCAGAACACGATGGTGGGTTCGTGCCCCTCCAGTCCAGTTGAAAAGCTACAACCGAAAAAATTGAGGTTTGATACCAAATCCCTATTTAGTCCGAAGTGGTACACGGCAGGCAATTGTTCTGATTTTGTTGTGTTTGTTATGTGGGTGTTTTTTTTTTTTTTAGTAGGTATTCACACCCAATTGACAGGCAAAACTACCCGTTGGAGCAGTACCCCAGTCCTGACATTATAAGAACTTTCCCAAGAGATGTGTCTTTTTCAGCACCCTACTTATGTGTGTCTTTTTTTCGTTTTGGCAGACCGGAACCCTTACGGAGAACCAGATGACCGCGGTTGAGGGTTGGTTTTCGGACAAGATTGTCCGGGGCGCTGACATCAAGCAGGGGCAGTGGCTGTCGCCCTGGTCGCGGGACCGGGTGTGGCAGAACCTTGCCATCAACCGCTCCTGTACCGTTGGGTTCAAGGACGACAACGTAAGACGGGAGAGAGAGGGGGGGGGGGGAGGCAGACGCGGAGAGTGGGCGGGAGAGAGATGTAGAGACAAAGATACGAGACACAGGGGGAGGAGGTTTAGGGAGAGATACACAAACAGGCACAAATGGAGAAAAGTGGGAAATAAGAAAAGGGCGGAGAGATTGGAAGTATAGACAGGCAGAGACAGAACAGACATTTGAGGGAAGAGAGAGAGAGAGAGAGAGAGAGAGACGGACTTCGGGAAACATAAGCAGAGGTAGGCAGAGACATAAGAGGGAGGAAGGAGAGAGAGATAAGGAGAGGAGAAAGCTGACGAGAGGGAAAACAATTCTGTATCCTTGACGGCTGTTGTCGTGTTCGTTGCCCCACGTGTAGTCGGCGTCAGATTTTGATGTTTTGGTTGGTTCGCTGTGGCCTTCTTCCTCCTCGGACCACCCGGCGTCCATATACTTTCTGGGAGGTTGAAATAAAACTGACTTGACCTTCGGAATCCGTTGCAATGACGACAACACGACACACCGCAACGCCTCGCGTCGTTGGTTGAGGTTACGCTCACGTTGTCTGCAATGATTTCGCTGTCTCGTTTTTTCTCGGCCGTGCAGGGAGACGAGCTGCACAAGCCCAAGGTGATCGGTAGCGCCACGGAAGGGGCCTTGGTCATCTTGGCTGCGGAGTGGGGCTTCAATGCGGCTAACGTCAAGGACGTGAGTTGGGACCAGCGGCTAGAGAGTTAAGGGCGGCTCAACAAGAACCGGCACTAATGAGAGAATGGAGCAACTTCAATATTCCATCTCTTGTCGCGATTACCCGCATAGTACCGGGCGGCGACATTCAACCGGCACTATTCGGGGACCCCCAATCTAGGAGACACGGGTCGCATGGTGGTACTAGCTGCGGCGGTCACTATCCCATCTCTTTGTCACGCGATTACCCACAATTTCACCGGGCAGTGGCACGTATTCAACCGGCACTATTCAGGGACCCTCAATGTAGGAGACACGGGTCGCATGGTGGTACTAGTTGCGGCGGTCGATATCCCATCTCTTTGTCACGCAATTTTCGTACCCACAGTATAACCGGGCAGTGGCACCTACCGTATACGACAGAAGATAACACACCCCCTGGACCCATTTTCAAAGCTCGATTACTCCAAGACCAAGAGGATTTATGAACGATACGTTTTCGGAGAGATGTCGACCAGAAGGCTTCAACGCCGCCGTTTTCGGCACCTGGTATTATTTTTGCTGTTGATGATTCGAGCTTGGAAAATCGGGCCAGGGGGTGTGTTATCTTGTGTCGTAAACGGTATTCAACCGGCACTGTTTTCGGACCCCCACTGGTTCGCATCATATGGTACTATTTGTATGGTACTATTTGCGACGACCACAGCCCCGAGAAATTGTGGGGGTGATGTAGGTGTGGTTTTGGTTGTCCTCACATCAAAAACCGTTCCGATCTCTCCATCCAGTACTGATGTACAACTTGACGCGGTCGATTTCCCGTGGTCACAGGCAATCTTACCCTAAAAAAGGTGTGCTATTATACATGTCGCCCTATGGATACATCCCCCCGATAACCGCAACCGTCCCCGCGCCCGCGTTTTCCCACCGTCCCCGCCTTCAGACGTTCTTCAACTCGGAACGCGACTGCGAGTACCCGTTCAACTCGGCCAAGAAGCGGTCGAGTGTTCTCATCACCAACCCGGACGGAAGCCTGCGTCTCTACAGCAAGGGGGCGAGCGAAACGAGTAAGCTCAAGTGTGACATTGAATAACGCCCCCTGGCTGGACCGATTTTCAAATCTCGATTACTCCACGACGAAGAGGATGACGAAATTGAAGTATACCTTTTCGGAAAGCTCTCGACGAGACGGTTTGTTCCAATGCCGCCATTTTCGGCACCGTTTCTGCTTTTTTTACCGAGTAATCGAGTTTGGAAAATCGGTCCAGGGGGTGTGGTATATTACGCAATGCCACCAAATAATCTGAACCCCCGCATGCATACGTAAGGCGGCGCCACAAGCGAGCCGTGGTGTGACTTTGAATATCACCCCCAACCCGGCTTATTGCTTCGTCCTGGCACTGTAGGGGTGTCCCCCCCCCCCCCCCCGCCCCCTTGCTCGTTGTGCGGCCATTTTTTTGTCGATTGTGGCGAAAAGACAGCCTCCACAGGCGTACAAGTATTTTCTAGGAAGTGGTTTACCCCCCTCCCCTCCTCCCTCAACGAACATGCTTTCGACATTAGGCCTTCGTAGGTTTGTTGACATTAGCCTTCGCAGGGTTTTTGACATAAGCTTTTGCAGGGTTTTTGTATTAAGTAAACATGTTGGATAAAGCATGCTAACAATCTTGGAAGTTGGGTTAGGGTTGGGGTTAAGGAATATGGTCTGCGTACCCCCTCCCTGTTCTGTTTTCTACGAAACTTATTCATCTCCTGAAGGCGGTCCCAA